GCCAGAGGAACTGGTGTTGGTGGCTGGGGAGAGGACGGTCTGGAGCTCCCTAGTTGGGATGCTGCCCCTGCGACCCGGACCCGGATAAGCGGAGGAAGAAGACGACGACGACGGCTTGCATTCATCTTTTCGTCCGGAAGTAGATGGGCGTGACTTAGGCTCCCTGTATGCTTCACAAAGTGACATCATCAAACCAGACTCAGAGAAAACAAGAGGGGAAAGGGCTGTAAGTTCAGCGAACTTGAAATCCTTCCTTCAAGAGGAAAGAACCACCATAAATCTGATTTGGTAAGTAGCAGCTAAGCTAGAGGAGAGGAGATTCTGTGGTGATGTCACATATGTGATATGCCGATGTCTGATTTGTAGTCATGCTAATTACAAACTATTATGATGTCATAGTATGTGACTGGCATGGTCTGAACACTCATCATTGGTTTTCATTTAAATTTCAGTAACATATGTGTGATCCAGGGCGTAAGGCAAAGTGGGTTAGAAAATCGCTCTTTCAGCCCCGTTGACTTGCATTAATCTTTTCATCCTTCTGGAGACCCATGAGCCGACCAGAAATGGAGGAGACTTAGGATCCTTATTGGCCTGAACAGTCTGGTGCCTCATCATTCACAGCGTTCCTTTGCTCTGGTGGGTGGGATGATGATACGACAACTAAGATGGTGGCAGCTTATTTGAAAAGGCTTTGACATCTACTGGACTATTTATACTTGGGCTTTTCTTTGAGTCAAGAGCGGTAAAGGTATGTAAGTCCTTTATTTAGAAAAAGGATTTATTTGCATCTTCTTCAAGTAGGGTGACCAGATGTTCCGCATTTTCATCACTTTTCTCACGTCCCGCAAATGAGAATCATGTCCCGCATGTAAACCATCTTTACCTGCTGGTGGTGGGCAGAGGAACAGGTGCTACATGTGCCCGAGAATGATTCTTAATATGACTGCATAAAAGAAGTCAGTCAGCATTAAGCACCATTGGGTTTTTTCTTCACAAATTTAGAATCAAGTTGTTTAAATTCTCAAATAGATCTCAATGGATGGAGTATCTCCATGAAATAAACTTAGATGAGTTTTGATGATAAAATATGTTTTCATAATTCTAAAATGATCCTATAATAGCATCAGAATGAGTCTCAGACCAACAGTTCTTACACTGAAATCAGACATGTTGTGCCTTTTTTTATTTGGACAAGTAACAGTCAGATTTGTTCTGCTGACAACCTCATCGGCGATGAAGGCTTGAAACAAACAAAGTAGAGATAACAGCAGATAGAAGGTGACCTGATATATTCACATATATAAAACACTTTCAACACTCGGATTCTGCATATTTGTATTCTCGCCTGCCTTTAAAGCTGCATGACAATAGGTTTAACCTCCTCGATCAAAACAAGGTGTGTGTGTGTGTGTGTGTGTGTGTGTGTGTGTGTGTGTGTGTGTGTGTGTGTGTGTGTGTGTGTGTGTGTGTGTGTGTGTGTGTGTGTGTGTGGTATGAAAAGGCAGGAAATAATAACACCTAATAGTCAGCCTGTCAGATGTGCCCGTCTGCTAGAGAGGAAACAAAAATAAATGTAAGTAGATTTGAATATCTAACATTTGAGGCTGACGCAGAGCGGCTGGATCAAAGCCGAGCGGGGGGGCAATCATAAACATACTGTCTCATTTTAATAAGTGAAGGAAATCTTTTCTAAAGCAGCACATGGGGAGGGTGGAGGAGTAGGGAACATCAAACTACAGCTAATGAGGTGTGGGGTTGAAAACAGACGTCCTGATGGCGTCTTTAATTTGAATCTAAAACTAGTTTTGTTCACGCACACAACCAGGGGTAAGTTTGTAAGGTCAGTCAGAAACAGTAGCTCTGAACAACTGGGTTTTATGAGAAAATAAGTGTTTCTTCCTGCTTATTATTCACAAAAATGTAATTGTGTGACCCGCAGATACTAAGAAGTAAAAAAAAGAGGAATTTCTTTTGTTTGTGTTTAAAAGTTAGAAAAATTATGACGAGTCGGAAAAAAAAATCCAAATGCCATGTCTGGAAAAAAGTGGCCCGAATATAACATCACATCAGGGTTTTTTTTACTGTAATAACTATAATGAATGTTAAAGTTTATTTATGATGTAGAAGAAGACAAAACAAGGCTGGGCAGTTTTTGTTTACAGTGTAGCCATACACAAAGATTACTGCTTTTAGTTGGAGACTTTGTGTTCTGAGGTTGTTTCTCTCGGTTTCATGACTAAACCCACAAACGCACCGTTTGATATTCTTCATAATAATCACAATTTCTATTTAAATCAAATGAACTTTCATCTATTTTACTAAGTCATATACTTTGTAATCTGAATCCATTAGAATGTTTATTTTGCTAATCTGAATCTGGACTAGTATCATACTCTTGTCTATACAATTCTGTATTTTTTGAGGTCATCAATGTTTCTGATTCGTACACCATTAGTTCCTTTTTTTTATTCTTATTCATACACTACAGTTCCAGACCCGTGTAGCAACACTGTGTTTCTGTTGTTTCAGTAGTCTTGCTTCCCTAGTGATGTCGGCATGGTTTTTTAATTTATGTAGACATTTGTTCCCTTCAATTTTTTGCCAGCCTGAGTAAGTCATTTTTGTGTTTCCTGCTTGTGAATCTTATTAAAATAGTCGATGTTTTATTTTTACCACATTTGAATGGATTAGTGCGACAGTCTGATATTTTGTCCTGTTGATACCTTTTTGATGAAAGAAGTCTGTGACTTGCTGCTCCAACGTTAGTTGTTCCTCTGCAGGTATCGGTACAGGATCAGCTCGGGGTCCTTCGACTGCCGTTGACATCACATTACTGCAATTCTACTCGGCTTTCACACTGTAGCGTCATGAAGGGCCTCTAATTTGCGACAAAGGTCACATTTTCCCAGCTGGGTCAGACTAACTTTTAGTTCCACAGATTTATCGAGGAGTCCTGATGTCTGCTGAATACCATCCTTTATCTGCTGCTGTTCCGTCCCAGAAGGACACTTCAAGTTTCACAATAACAATTTAAATAATAATTTTAATAAACTCTTTAACTTTATTGAGGTTTATTATAATCATCATAAATAATCTCTTGGTTCAGTATAAATGTATTTTTAATTACTGAAATGAATTATTATGTTTTGGGTATAATTATGGTTATGGTTGATGATCAGTTATGTGTGTTCAGCAAATCAGAAGGTTAACTTCCACCTTATCCATCTAACACAGAGCTTATCCAGAGTAAAGGGTAACTGCCATCACATGTTTTTTTTTGACTCATGACCAAAGCTTTCTTGCTCTGAGAGGGTGTGTTCTGAGGGGTTTGTTAAACTAACTTTCCAGCAGAGAAACTTCAGTTCGTGAACCAACCACCATCACTGAGGATACGGGAACGGCCGTCCCTAACCTCCACCTGCTGTCCTGTCACGCCGATAAGAATAGCTACGAATAAACGTAACTGTAACCAGCTAACGCAAAAACTCCTCCAGAGTTATTGACTTCTGAAAGTTAAGACGAGAAACTCCTTCAAAGTTAAGCCAGACGCTCGACACCGTGTACCCGGCGACATCTTCGGACCAGAGAGTCGGTCCCTCGAGTCTCCCCTACCAGACCGTAGACCGTACCCTACAACACATACGTATTGGAAAGACATAAGCAGTTTTGTTAATAAATTCTTGTTTGTTAACACCTAAATTTTTTCTTTATAACTGTAATTTGTTAATAAAACACCATATTATCTGTTTTGTAAAGAATGTGAAACTGCATAAAACCAACATCGGACTGACAAAAAATAGAACAGTTCTTATATGTGAAGCCATATCTGTTAGTATTAATGTGGAGCTCGTCTGTATATTTCCTTAGTTGTTATCTAAATACATTCTTTGACTCAAAATATTGCTTGGTGTCTTTCAATAAAGTTCTTATATTTTATTTTGCCCCATTTCATCAACAACAAGAGCTTCTGAGGGTCACCGTATATCATTTGCTTATATTTTACATTTCCTTTAGAAATTCAAACATATTTTCTCCAAAAAGGCTTGATTTTCGGACTACAGGACTACAACCGCTAAGACTACGACCGCAAATTTCTTCTGACCAATCAAAGTCATAACGTGATAACGTCACTTCCGTAAGCTTCATGTTTAGCCATTCAACTACTTTGACGTCATTGGCAGTCAAAGGACCCCGAGCAGATCCTGCACCCGAGCCGATCCTGTACCGACACCGGTGCATTTTCTCCTCTAGCTCCATCTGAGCCCACCACCCTTGCATACATACGATCGATGCCTCGTCTCCAAGCCCGATATGACTACATCTTCTTTTCTGGAGTATTGTTCAAGATCATCCACACGTTGTTCCATCTTATCAATAAGTTAGTCCTTCTCCATTACAATGTTTTAGAGCTGTTTAATTTCCTCCAACAGCCTGCTCAGGGGTGACATTTCTCCAGAAAATCCAATCACTGATGTGATCTCCTCTATATCCTTCAAGATTTTCCATGTTCCTTGGTGGCGCCATCTCATCCACTATAGTTTATGCATTCAAGTCAACCACAATCCACCTCCCTGTTAAACCTGCACTTCTTAGTTAACTAATGGTACAGCACCTGGAGTTCGGCCTGTTAGTTCCTGATGTTGAGTCTGAAAAATCCAGGCCTAGCAGATGATGAAGGATCCTGACAGCTTGACGGCTGGTGTTGAGAGCTGGGCTGGGCGTGGCAGCCTGGCCTGGTGGCTGGTGTTGGGCTGAAGTCACATCTCAAAGCTTCCAAACAATGTGTTGAATCTTCTAGCATATGTATTGTTCTAGCTTTAGTGTCTAGAAGATCCAGAGTTTTCCTGTTGACTGACTTTATTACCTTCCCGTTGATCTTTATGAGGCACTAAACATCAGGAGCTGCATTTGATTGTTTTCAGGGAGATCATCAACTCTTCTCTTTGCCCTGCATGGTGCTGCATGTTCAAAATCAATAAAACTCCAGACACCAATAATCTCATCACAACAATTCAGTTTTAATTCTTTGGACAATAAAAACAAACAAAAACAGGTTTAAAACAATTTAAGAAACTATTAAAAGCCACCTTATTCTGTTATAGCTGAAGACTTTCCAGCTCGTCTAATTCAAGTATATATTTTTCATTTAGTAAACAAATAAATAAAACAACAAATATGAAACAATACTATAATAGGACCAAGACATAAAGTATATTGCACCATCTGATGGCACGTACCAAATGTGGCAGAAATTATGGTAAAATACTAAAAACTTAAAAATACAAACTCTGTAAGACTAAAATTCACAAACAAAAATCCAAACTCCAACATTAGCCAGACCAATAAAAACAAATACTTCTGAGGTTGTGTTTACCTGCAGCCATTCTGAGTCAGGCCCTTAGCTCCTGAGAGGGGAAGTGCAATGTGCAAATACAGATTCTGTTGTTCATAAAATCATCATCAGTTTTCCACAGGAAGTAGTAACGTGAAGTCATATCCTGTTGTTCTTCTTCAGGACTTCCAAATACTCCTGCGTGGCTCTGCTGAGGGGGTCCATCTCCACTCTGGAGGCGGTGCCCCCCAGGGACATACGAACCGAGGCAGCGTCCAGCTCTGCTGTGGCTGAAGACCAAACAGACACCATTATTAAGGCTGCCATTAATGATGTCTCTCACTCTCTCTCTCTCTCTCTCTCTCTCTCACACACACACACACACACACACACACACACACACGCACACGCGCACACGCGCGCGCGTGCAGAGCTTCACTCACCCGTACTTAATTCTCTGGATATACTTCTGTCCAACTCATTCCGCATCTGGAAAACAAAGACAGTCCTTAAACGATTCAACTAACTAAGGATAAAGTCCGACACACCACTGATGTGTTGAATATCGTTGGTGTGTTCTTACTGTGTCTAGTTTTTAGTTCCATTTTTGGTTCTTTTTAAAACACAGGAAAGGTTTCTCAGCTCTGAGGATGTTTTGCAGTCGGCAAACGAAATGTTAGCAAGGTAAAGAGAAACCTTTCCTGTGTTTTAAAAAGAACCAAAAATGGAATTTGATGTGTTGAATGTTGTGAAGAATATCAGATGTGAACAGACAGACTTATGAGTCTCTTTTGGTGAACAAAATATGTATACATCTATACCTCATAATGTTGGACTTACGGCTCTTTCTCATTCTTTAGAGAATATTATTATTAGAGTTATTATATTTATGATCAGCTATGTGTATTTATGTGTCATTTCTGTCACTGATTGTATTGAATGAACTTGGGACTCCTCCACCTTGTACTGACCAATGAAGGGCAGATGTTTTGAATTACTGATTAGTCAACACCTGTGTGTATATATAGACCTCGGAAAACAGTAAGCTGTAACATTTTTGTCTAAACGTTCGTTCTTTTTGTTTGCACCTATTAAACTATTTTCAGGACCAGTTTGCTCCACCCATTCTTCTTTTTCTCTAAGCATTAAGTCTTTCAAAGTATTCACACCTTTAAATAAAAACAAAAGATGGACGCCTCAAACACAAAGACATTACAGGGACAAAATGGAGTCCGGCTACCACAGCTTTGACACCAGGCGACTGTGGAATGGACTGCGCTGCATCACTGACTACAAAAAGGTCAGCACAGTCAGTGTTCAGCCCACTGCATCTCTCGCAGACGAGCTGAACAACTTCTATGCTCGTTTTGATGCAGACAACAGAGAGGAGATCCTCTACCCTCAAGAGGACAGTGAGGCTGCAACTCTAACTCTGGAAACAGAAGCTGTGAGATGGGCCTTTAAAAAGGTCAATCCTCACAAAGCTCCAGGACCAGACGGCATCCCAGGCCGGCTACTCAGAGTGTGTGCAGACGAGCTGGCAGAGGTGTTTACCAACATCTTCAACCTCTCCCTGAGGCAGTCAGTGGTCCCGACGTCCCTCAAAGCATCCACCATCATTCCCGTTCCCAAAAAATCAGTGGTCTCCTGTCTGAATGACTACCGTCCTGTTGCACTGACATCCGTCATCATGAAGTGCCTGGAGCGGCTGGTCAAATGTCACATCTGCTCCTCCCTCCCTGACACACTGGATCCTCTTCAGTTTGCCTATCGGAAAAACAGAGCCACAGAGGATGCCATCGCCCTGGCAACACACACCGCCCTCACTCACCTGGAGAAAGGGAATACATATGCAAGAATGCTCTTCATCGACTACAGCTCGGCATTTAACACCATCATCCCCTCAAGACTTGCCACGAAGCTCGTCGACCTTGGGCTGGGAACACCGATCTGCAGTTGGATTCTAAACTTCCTCACAGACAGGCCCCAGGTGGTGAGAGTTGGTAAGCACACTTCCTCATCACTCATCCTAAACACAGGTACGCCCCAGGGTTGTGTGCTTAGCCCCCTCCTATATTCCCTGTTCACACACGACTGTGTTGCTAAACATGAGACCAACATCACCATCAAGTTTGCGGATGACACAACCATCATAGGCCTCATCACAGGGGATGATGAGACGGCCTATAGAGAGGAGGTGATGGCACTGTACGAGTGGTGCCTGGAAAATAACCTGACTCTCAACATCAGCAAAACCAGAGAAATGATAGTGGACTACCGGAAACGACCAGTCAGGGAACACCAACCCATCCGCATCAACGGGGTCGAGGTCGAAAGGGTCAGCAGCTTCAAGTTCCTTGGAGTCAACATCACTGAGGACTTCTCCTGGACCCTTCACACAGACACTACTATCAGGAAAGCTCGCCAGCGGCTTTACTTCCTGAGGAGGCTGAGGAAGTTTGGTGTGAGCGCCTGCTTCATCTCAAATTTCTACAGGTGTGCAATTGAGAGCTTGCTGACGAGCTGCATCACAGTGTGGTACGGAAGCTGCTCTGCCAGCAGCCGTAAATCACTACAGAGGGTGGTGAAAGCAGCAGAGCACATCACTGGCATGAGGCTTCCTGCCATTCAGGACATTTATCTCCAACGATGCCTCCGGAAAGCACACAGCATCATCAAGGACCACAGCCACCCAGCACATCAGCTGTTCTCCTTGTTACCATCTGGCAGACGTTACAGGAGTCTGTCTGCTCGGACTACAAGACTTAAAAACAGTTTCTATCATCAAGCCATACGACACCTCAACCACAACACCTAAACACACACAACACAGGACTCAGAAGCTACCCTGCAGCTTCACAAGTACTATATTTAATCTGTACTGGTCACTTCACTTTATTGTTATTGTAATTTATATCCAAAGTGCAACACTGTAATCTATATCCTGCATAATTTATATCCTGCAATACTGTAATTTATATCTAAAGTGCAATACTGTAATTTTCTGCAGCTCATTCCTGTGCAATATCCCATCTGCCCTCCCGTCATATTTCTTTTCAGGATTTTCTTTATTGACACATATATATTTAGTCATCTTTTCCCTTTTACCATGTCTCTCTAATATTTTGCTCCTTACTATATTTTTTTGCTTTATTTTATTATATTTTTATTATATTTTATTATATTTTCTCCTGTATCATGTTGCTGAGAGACCGCTGCTCGTCATACACGTTTCATTGCAATGTTGACCCTGTGCTAACTTGCATATGACAAATAAACTAAAACTGAAAACTGAACTGAACTACGGAAAATTATTAGTCATTTCTACTAGAAATAAATAAACACTTTAAAGGGAGACCACTCTGGTCGTGATTTGGCGCTATATAAATAGCCTGAACTGAATTGAGTATATCTTGCAAAATCCACTTTTGAGGGCCTTTGACCATGCAATATCAACACGAAAAACACCCCAAAGCGGTTTTTGGCTTTACAAACGCATTTTCCTGTCTCAGCTGCAAATCATCCGCTGGTCTACTCAGCGCCTGCAAAAGCCTGGATGGAGCATGGTTGTATCATCATGCCCCGTCTCCATCCAGGTACTCTTGAGTCCGTCTCCCCTGGACTGTAAACACTACCACCCACTCTCTCTTTGTTGCTAGCAGGGAGTTTAATCTCCACGGTTGTGAAGAACTGATTTATTTCTTATCTCGTCTGCACTTTAAATTATGCCTAGAACTTAAAAATGAATGTTTGTCTGAAAGGGGTACAGGATCCTTGTCTTGTTCTTCTAGAAGAATATTTGAAAGAATATTTGTCTTTCTGAAGAAATGGTTGGATTTTATCTTCAGGAGCTCCCACAAACCGAGCCAGAATGTCACCGTGATGACACAATTGCTAGTTAAACCACCACCAGTAACAAAGTAGGTTTTCATTACAGATAACTACTTCAGTCTGGCACTATTTCAAAGTGAAAACCACCTAATGGATTGGCCAGAGTGGTGAGGACAACAAAATGCTAACAGCTAGCATGGGGGTGGGGGTGGGGTTGGAATATAATTTCTGGGTTGAAGAAATAGGTCATGAAAATAAATTAGATTTCATAAAAAAAAAGACATCTCAATAGTGCTAACGGTAATATTTTATAGTGTGCCTACATTGGTCAAAAACATGTAAATAGCGTGATAAGGGCCCTTTAAAGGGGAACTAGGCAGCTTTGGCATGCTCTTAGCACCTGCTAGTATCCGTTTGCAGAACTGAAAGTGTTCCCCACACGGTAAACATATGCGGTGTGTCTTGTGAGTTGTTAAAGGCCTGCTCCGTGGATTTTACCCAGTTGAATCATCATTAACTGTTGCTAAAACCAGACCGGTCTGGTTTTTACTCTGGAAACACGACACCTGCTGTCAGATACCTGATCCTGTCATTGACGACCGAACACAGTTAGTTAGCTAAAACGAGTCATTATTACTTTCTTCTGAGCACAAGTTATTTGAATGTTTTAGGTTATTTAACTACTCCTTGGATATTTTGTTAGTTCAGCATCAGAAGAAAACTTTAGATAAAAGCTAACAATTCCCTCTAAAATTAGCAAACACAAGAAAATAAATCCCTCACAAACTGCTGTCCAACAGAAAACGTGCTTGAAAACAAAAGCAGGATGTGTCTGTTTCTGCTGCACAGCTGTAGGATTACCAAAATCCCTAGATATCTGATAGTTGATGAGTTTACTTTTATGTCATCTAAAAAAAATGCCGCTGGGTAAAACTGATAGGAGGTCTCCAGCCTACAGAGAAGTAAACATGACTTCTGCTATAAACGTTAAAGGTGAGAATGTGCACCAAGAAGAAGACGCTCAGCTGGTGGAGGAGCTCCACCTTGTGCCAAAAGCTGGTGGGGACTGAAGACAGCTGAATATTGCATGAATATTTTTAGTGAGTGTAATTTCATTACACATCTTCCACAGTAACATTTCTGCTGCACTTGCATTACATACATGCTGTTAGACGTAACTCGCTGCTTCCCACTCCGGGATCAAGGGGGAGTTAAATTCCAATCCAATATTTGGTTTTTATGGTCTGAATGGTAAAGAACTGTTGGCATTCGTTTTCACTCCCTGATCACTTCCTGTCCTTCCAGTATTACAGAAATCACAAAAGTAAATGTTTTCTGAGGCCTTGCTTCGTCTGAGTGAACATCAGCGTCACAACCCTCCACCTGAGGTGGGGTTAAAGAGGGCACCCAGCTACACACCTGCTCATGAGTCTGGCTGAAGAGAGGAGTGAGAAACAGACTTTTGAGCTAGAAGCTAAAAGAGTGAAAAACAGAAAACAAGTTAGGAGTAAAAAAAAAAAGATGAAGACGGTCAGAAAACAGCAAACAGGACGAGGGAATACACAAACAAAACAACGGGGTGAAGATTTAAATAAACTTCAGTGCTAAAATATTTCTCCACAGCTGAAGTGTATGTTGGGACAGATTATTTAGGACATGTAACAACAGATCAGGGGGTGACAAAAATTATAAAATCACAGATTCTAATTAAAATTTAATAATAGAGCTATTAGTGACTCTGTTTAAAGACCAAGTTCACTTGTGTTTTAACTAGGGCCGTGACTCGATAAAAAATTTAATCTAATTAATTAGAGGCTTTGTAATTAATTAATCTAAATTAATCGCATTTTTAGTGTTTCTGTTTTAACTTAAACTTCTGTTTTCAACGTTAAGACACGTTGTTTGTGATTGTTTACAGAGTAGTGAGAACACAGAGCGTTCTCCCAGCAGCAGCCAGGTGCCTCTCGTTTGTCTGACTACTTTCATAAACTACTGTTAGGGCAAAGAATTATTCTGTCTGGTGCTTTCAGCGCTGCACAGATGTTACGTAAATGTTAAAAATATAGCTTACCGCAACTTAAGTTAAGTTTCCGGTGCCACCGGGCAGCTGAAGCAGAGACGATCTCTGAAAAATGTCCGCGACACGGACTCCGTTGTTGTCTGGAAGTTTTTTTTTTCATAGTTAAGAAAAGAGGGGGATGGGTTTCTTAAATCCTGCATCAGTCCAAGCAAGGCAACTTCTTTCTGTTTTTATTCTGTTTTAGTAGCCATTAGCACTGTGCATTGTTGTGTGCGTCAGTGATATTCGGTCTACGAGGAAATCGTGCAATAACAAAGGTTCCGCCTTTCTCGAAATGCAAGCTGTGATTAAATGCGTTAATTTTTTAACGCGTCATTTTTTTCTAATTAATTAATCATAATTAACGCGTTAAAGTCCCGGCCCTAGTTTTAACACATTTGCAGCGGTTTCTAGAGTAAACGAGTACCTTGTGAGTTGATCTCTGAGGGAAAAAAAGCTGTTTCAGGAACTAGAAGTTAGCCACAGCAGAGCTGAGCTTCAGACGAGCCGTTGCTAGTTAAGATGGAGGATTCGTGCTAATGTATCAGGCTTTTTGTAATCCAAGAGTTTCATTATCTATTTTCTGATGGCAGCAAAAGCAGGAAATAGGGGTAGATGACTATTTTCACATTCAGCCTGCATGTGAAACTCAGAGTGTTGATCATATTTAAAAAATAACAAGTGGAAAACTGTTTCTCAGTGAACTTGGCCTTTGAAGAATAAAGAAATCATCGTGAAGATGGCTTAATGAGAGCGGACCTTGGTCAGATAGTCCTCCACCCTGCTGCTCTGTCCCTCAGTAACAGGACCAAGGAGGGAAAGTCCCAGTCCAAAGTTCCTGTTGAGGGACCCGATTGTGGCCCCGTAGTTTGCTGCTGAGCCCAGTGAGGTCAGGTCCAGTGGTGGCCCCATCAGGCTCCCGTTAGCGATGCTGCTTGTGATCAGCGACCGGCTGCGCTCACTGAGCAACTTGGAATTAGCTTCTGCAAGTCGACTTTTTGCCCTGCAGATAGACAAACAGAATGATCACCACCTGCTTGGTTACCTTATCAAAGAACACTCAGAGAATCAGTCAGATTAGAGTTTATCCCAACACACTGATTGTAATCTGACCCAAACCTCTCTAGTTTAGCAGCCTGGGACTTGCGGAGGTGGACCTCGTCTGTGTAGAGCTGCCGGTATCGCTCTAGCTCTGTGCGTGTAGAGTCTCTTTGGTTAAGGCTGTCCTGATGGGTGGCGCGGGCTCGGCCCAGTTCCCCTTCCAGCTCCCCGATCTTCTGCTCGAGCTGAGAACGCAGGCTGGCCTCATTGGCTGCTTTAATCTGATCCAAGGCTTCTTGAGATGCAGCCTGGGACTAAAAAAAAGACACAATCGTCCAAATTCACGTCTAGAGGTTTAACTATGACAACCAGAGTCCAGAACATTAATGTAAAGACGGCGTAACTGGTTAGAGTGGGTCTGTTCCTGGTGAGATTGTACCTGCAGGAAGAGGTTGACCTGTTCCAGCTTTTGTTGGATCTCCTGGCGGGCTCTTTCTTCTGCCTCGCGACGGAACTGTTCCACCTGGCTTTGTTCTACCTGAGTAGCCTCTAGTCTCCGCCTCAGGTCTAGTACCTCCTCCTCTAAATGCCTCTTACTCCTCTCTAGATGGTCACTATTATGACTCGAGCTCCTCATGGAAGCGATCTGAATCTTGAGCTCATCGTTCGTTTTTTCTAGTTGGCTGCAACGAAGCGTTTCTTTTTCCAGCTGCACTTGAAGATCGTCCACCTGAAGGAGATGCAGCGGTACAAAATGACCTGTGACCCCAGACCATTTCAGGCTGCAGACACAGGTAAAGCATTCAAAAACCCTCTCATGGACAGACCTTGTCTTTAATTTGTCCAAAGGTCCCCTCGGCCTGACTGCGTCTGTCCATTCGCAGACTGCTCACCGGCGAGCCAAACTCCGCTCCACCAGCCTCTTGGTCCCGCAGCTTCTTCTTTGCAGTCTTCAATAGAGTTCGCAGCCTAAAACAGACCAAAACAAGCTTAAATTCCACCACAATTAGACCAGTTACAAATACATATTCTTGCAAATATTTACAAGAAACAACATGATCAGATTTTAAAGGGGACATATTACTTTTTTGTCTTTAAAGCAACACTAAAGAGTTTTTAACACTTTAAGCTGTTACTGTTAAACTGGTTTCAGTGATTCTTGAGTCAGAAACTGAGTAACTTCCCACTGGACAGAACACTGCTGCCCTCTGCTGACCAGAAACTGCACTCAACAGTTTTGTGGTTTGGATGAAAACACTAGTGGGAGCTCTCTACCTGCTTTATAGCAACAGCTGTAGGGCAGCAGTAGCTCAGGAGGTAGAGCGAGTGGTCCGGTAATCCAAGAGTAGCAAAACTGATCTCAGCTCCCTCTAGGGCAGTGGTTCCCAAACTTATTTAGCCGCGCACCCCCTTCTATGTCCCGACCATGTCGACGCACCCCCCAGCCCCCACATCAGAGCATGGCTATATATATATATCAAGCTAAACAGACGGGGTTAAAAAAGTATGATCGACCTTTTTCCCCATCACTTTCATTTTTTTAAATAGTAATTAATAAACATTCGATACCATTACAATTTCCTTTGATTTAATGCATAAACAATGCAATTCAACGGTTTTCTTAAAGCAGGAACGTTTAACCAGAGCGCTCTCCTTCCTTCTGCTCTGTATAACCCTGAGCTGGTCACCTACTTGTGCGTTATCAAATGTCTATAGGGGAAAAGATGGAAACGATATAGCCATGAGGTTCACTTTTGCCTCAGACCGACTTATTGCTGTTTTATGGTGTGGCTGAATCTGCGATCCGCTGCCACGCGATCTGGAATAACAAATGCTGCAGTAACAGGAGTTGTGGTAAGGTTCAAGAGGAGTCACTGGCTGGAGCGGACCCGACTTTAATACGTCATCCCAAAATAGAAGCTAATATCTTAATTTGACCTTGAATGAAAAATGTTGTTATAAAACCTCTCAAAAGTTTTTATCACAGAGGAGGCAGCGCTCATTTCTGCCTTCAGTCTGACGGCGCGCCGGAGTTTGTGCAGCGTGCGCACTTATTGAATCAGTGTGTGTGTGTGTGTGTGTGTGTGTGTGTGTGCAGCACAGCTCCATGAGCCTCTCCAGTCACCGCCTCTCGTTATTGGCGCAATTTAAACCAATGTTGTAAAATTACTTCTGCCCAGCCCAGATGTGCTCACATGTGCACCCATGAGCCGTGGTTCCGCTGGAACGCGTCTGACCTCTGACAGACGCACTCTGAACTTCAGATCTTCAGCTCGCTGTTAATAGCCTGAATGGGAATCATTTCTTGATTTATTTAGTTACATCCACAATGTTCTGTGTGTGAGGTTTACAATGTCAGAACACCTGCATGAGACAGGGTGTTAATTACAATCTGCCAGAATGACTCACCACCTTCAGATTCCTCCAACAACGTTACAAATGATCAAATACGGAACATATCGGCATGCGCAGGCCAGAGTGCTGAAGCGCATTGTTATTATGAAGCTAGGGCACATGCGGAGGACACGCGCAAAAATATACTTGTTTTCAATTACATTTATTGGGCCCACTTACTTTTTCTTAGGCCCACCCACAGATGAGTTTCTGGCTACGTTAATGGTGACATGTGACAGACTTCTCTGAGCTCCGCAGCCATTACACTTTTCACCTCGCGCACCCCCTAGCGGCAGCCCTGCTCTAGGGAATTCTACTGTTGTGTCCTTGGGCAAGACAATTCACCCTTCTTTCATGCTACTGGTGTTTAGAGGGACCAGTGGTGCAAGGGTATAACAGCATCTCCTCTGTCAGAGTGGCCCAGGGTAGCTGTAGCTACACTGTCGCTCATCACCATCAGCGTATGAATGAGTATATGAATGGATGAATGTAGTGTAGAGTCCTCTGACTCAGAAAGGCTCTATAGAAGTACAGGTAATTTATTATTCATCACAGCTGTTTACTGTGCTGGTAGCTTTTATAAAGGCTAGCAGTTAGCTTTTTCATTTTGCCAATAAAAAGCACAAGAACAAGAATTTTCTTCTTTTTTTTTTGTTGGCATCATGGCAGAGCCGGGAAGTAAGAGAGTAATGTCTTTGGAGGCGAAGCAAAGCGCTATAACCAGAGTGGACATCAGTGTGGCCTACACTTGTTTGAGGGACCTACAGGAGGCTGCAAAAGCACAGACTGATGGTGACCTGGCTTTGTTACTTACATTGTAAGTAATACTATTTCTTGTCAAATAGTGTGGATCTTTAACTTAGTGGCAAATTTAGTATCAGTTACCTTGTGTTAACGTTAGCTTGTTGGAAGTGCTAAATACAGTAGGCTGCAGCAGGATTGTTTACAACTGTTTTAATTCTGCTTTCAACCAGTAGATGTGAGTAGCAGGAAAATTATTAAATGTTGCTTTAAGTTATAATAGTTCTATGGTTTCATGGTAATGAAATGAGTTTTCTCCTCAGGGTGGCTGGGCTCTCCCTTAGAGACAGGGTGAGAAGCTCGGTCATCCAGGAGGGGCTCGGAGTAGACTCGCTGCTCCTCCACATCGAGAGGAGCCAGTTGAGGTGGCTCGGGCATCTGGTAAGGATGCCTCCTGGACGCCTCCCTGGTGAAGTTTTCAGGGTATTCTCCAACCGGGAGGAGACCTAAAGGAAGACCCAGGACACGTTGGAGGGACTATGTCTCTTGCCTGGCCAAGGAACGCCTTGGGATTCCCTCGAGGGAGCTGGACTAAGTGGCTGGGGAGAGGGAAGTCTGGGCCTCCCTGCTTAGGCTACTGCCCCCGCGACCCGACCCCGGATAAGCAGAAGAGAATGAATGGATGGATGGATGGACCATTCTATGGTCGACACAAACATATTCATGAAGTTCGTTGCACTAAATTCCTAAAGCAGTTTCTCCAGTTGTATTCTGGACATTTTCAGTAACTTCTGGAATGAAACATTTCAGGGCTGGAGATGGTCACACCCACCCCTTTCCTGATTGGCTGCTATAAGCTGAGAAGCTCAGATATAAGGGAGGGGCTCAGACCAGAGCTGCCGATGCTCCTCCAGCAGTAGCTCTCTCTTGCATGTTAGAGGTGGTTATATTCTACTTTCCCTGTTTGTGACATCATAAATGGGGCCTGTTTTAAACAACTTGTTTGAGACACAAAATATCTGAAAACAAACATTAACAGAAAAAGGATGGACAAGGTTTTGTTTGTGTTTATAGAAGCAATAGAGACCGACACAGGAGCAAAAAAAGGGTTTTGCATGATATGTCCCTTTTAAGTTCGAGCAGAACAAAGATTTGATGTATTTCATAAACACTGAAGATTTTTAATAGAAGGTGATTCTAATGAGTAAAAATGAGGTGAACGATGACAGCACAGCACAGATTCACATTAATGTTGGGAGTTTATAAAACACCTTCAACGGGACCCAGCCTTGGGTTTACCACATAAGCAGAAGAGTCCTACTGGATCTAGACAGAGGAAGGCATGGCCACAGGTCACAGAGACGAGGTAAAGAGTCACCTGTACATTTCTTTTTGAAGCTCTGCGTTTCTTGTCATCTCCTGATCGAGACGAGCGTCGATGGCCTTCCTCTGCTCAGAGATTCTCTTGGCTCTTTTCTTTTCTATCTCTATCTGTAACACAGGAGACGTGATAAGAGGCTCGTCAGACCCAACTAAGACCACTAATTATTTCCTTCTGTAAGCGGGAGCTTCGGTTAAACAGAGAACTCACCTGAGTGGTCAGTTCTCCTTTTTCTTTTTCCAGCTCTGCCAGGCGAAGCCCTAGCTTGGAGCGACTCTTCAGCTCCTCCTCCCACAGAGCGTGGGAGTCCTGAGCGGTGTGAGACAGCACACTGCGTTTCTGGGCCTGCAGGAACAAAAACAAGAACCACAAAGAGAAAAGAGCTCTGAAAGGAGCTCATTTTTAATTGAGCTACTTTTAGACAGGTTCATGAAGAAGAAGCAGCACATGCCACCAACCTCTCTACTGAGCTGCTCTTCTAAAGTCATCTTACTGCTCTGGAGGTTTGTTACCAACTCCTCTAAATGACCGCGGACCTACAAAACAGAAACATTTAATGAAATAAACGTATTTTTCTGAGCAAAAATTTCCATTGATGACTTTAGAAAACTGATAGCCGACTACAGGATGTTACATGCATGGAGTCCCACATAAGACACCACAGAAGGAGATCAGAGGAAAAACTTCACAGAGAAGAACCCAAAGCAAAGTTTTATTTCATCATTTGGATTCTGGATCTAGCACCACAATAAAGAGTTAAACTTCATCATTTTTATTTCCATAATTTGATGAAAGAAAAAAAAAAAAAGAGAGAACAGAAAGAAAAGGCCGGCACACAGAAAAGCTAACCCTACATCCACCGTACTAACCCCTCCTCCTGGTGAGCAGCCAGTCAGCTGGAAGAAGATGGCAAGGCTTAAAATTTAAGACGACTTTGAACGTTTCTGGGTGATTTTGTAGAATGATGTGGTGTGACATGGTTAGCGTAGACATGGAGCACTGACACCTGGAACTCACCATGGCAGCTTCCTGAGCTCCTTTCTGAAGAGAGTCGATTCTGTTGGACTGTTGCTTAGCAGCAGCTTCTAGTCTGGCGTTCTCGATCTCCAGCCTAGAGGCCAGACGGAAGAAAGCTTCTCATGTTTTACTGTAAATCATTAAATTATGAATTTATGTAGAATTTAATCGGATAGAAATCCTGGAAGGTGTTTGCACAAACTTCTGCACAGCTTCCTCCAGCTGTTTGATGGTGACTTCAGAAGCTGCAGATGTGGACAGCACCCCCTGAAGTTTCTGAGCAGCAATGCTAAGCTCCTTCTCTCTTTCGTCCAGGCTGCTTTTGAGGGTGCTGATGGTCCGCTCTGCCTGCAGATACTGATCTTCACTTTCCTCCAGCTAAATGGCAAAAACAAAACATCAGGCTGCTGAGCACAACCAGTGGAATTAACAACAAAAGATAAAACACGACCGCGTCCCCATCTGCCCTGTTGGTACCTTTCCTTTGAGTCTGTCCGAGTCCCTGAGGAGCCGAGTCTTCTCCTCCTCCAGGTCGTTGCGATAGCGTGTGTTGACCTCCAGAGAAGCTTCGCTCATCGACAACTTTTTGAGGGAGTCAGCGAGCTCCTGCTGCAGTTGCCTGAGACTGGTCTGGGCAGACAGAGACCAGAGACAGAAGGGGCTGGTCAGTAATAACAACACATCCTTAACTAGACAGTTTAAATCTGGTACTGATCCGTTTTGATCGTACCTCTCTGTCATTCTTCTCTTCCTCTAACTTGTAGATCTGATCCCGAAGGTCAACAGCCTTACTGGCGAGTTCCTTGTTTCTGTCCTCCACCAGCTGGACCCTCTCTTCGCTGTCAGAGCGTAGCTGGGACAGAATGTCACTGAAGCGTTCTTGAGCATCAGTCACAGCGCGCTCCTTTGCAACACCTTTGTTTTGTGCCTCTTCTAATTGTTGCCGAAGCAACATAGCCTCACTCTGGGCCTGGGCCAGCCGTTCCTGTGTCGCCTCATGGCGCGCTCCTGCCCGACTGACCAGTTCTCTCTCAGCCTGGAGAGCAGATTCCAGCTCCTTTACTCGTGTAGCAGCCTGGTCCTTTTCCCTCTGGAGGACCTCCAGCAGCAGGGCCTTCTCTGTCAGCTGCAGCGTGACCCGGTGGACCTCGTTCTCCATGCTGTTGGAGCGAGCCTCGGCCTTGGCCAACTTCTGCGACAGGCTGCTGGCTGCTTCACGCTGATTGGCTACCTCCCCTTCAGAAAGACAAACAAGCTCCCAGTCAGCTCAAAATACAGAGACAAGGAAACATTTGAAAACAAACAGCTGCTTGGACATCTGTTTCCAAATGTCTAACCTGAGAGTCTGTCCTTGAGCCTTTGGTGTTCCTCCTTCTCCCTGAGCAGAGCTTTCTCTGAGTCTGAATGAGCCGCCAGGCGCAGCTCAGCCTCCTTCACAGCACCAGCCAGGCGGCTGCGAGTTGACTCCAGCTCTGATTGCAGAGCTTCACGTGTCTGACGTTCGTTTTCCAGGCGGCTTGTTGTTAGAGCCAACTCAGATTTCATGGCGGACAGCTGGTTATTGCAGCTGAAGACAGTTTGGGTCACCGTTTCATTGCTAATTTTAAGATCTCTGCGAACATCTTCCAGCTGTTCCTTAAGAACCTCGTTCTCCTCTGAGAGGTGGCTCTCTTTCAGGCTGCTGTTTGCCTGAGACCGTTCCAGGTCTGCCCTCAGCGTGCTCAGCTGCTCCTGCAGAGCTGCAGTTTGTTGGAGAAGTTCTCGCTCTCTTTCACTGGCTTCAGTCAGTTGAGACAAAGCCTGTAGGTTGGATGGATGGAAGAGAATTCATGAGATTTCAGATTTTTTTAAATCTAAATGAAACATCAGTAGCTTTAACTGGCTGATAGTTTCCAGTTGCACTGAAAAGTACATCGTGAACTGATGGTGACCTGGCATTGTTGCTACTGAACTTGTCTGTAACAATAACTTTTGTCCAACTTTTTGTGTTTTTTTTAGCACTTAACTTTGTGAAAACTTATTTGTTGGCTCATGCTAGTGATAGCTCATTGTTAGCACTAGCCATGGGCATAGTTTTGGAGGGGGACATGCCCCACCCCCCACTTTGTCCAGTAAATTTTTGTCCCCTGAACTTTTTACCGTCCAAAAACAATATTACGCTATATTAAATAGACACCGGTTGAGCACTAGAGCCAAGCAGAAAATAACCTTTTGTGTTGAAGCCTGTTTGCCATAAGAACATACCGTAAAGACCCCCCCCCCCCCCCCCCCAATGCCGGTTGTGCCCCCCCCACTTCTAAAGTCCAAATTACGTCCATGTCGCAAGCCAAAACAGGCTGCAGCAGGGATGTTTACAACAGTTGTAATTCCACTTTCAAACTGTAGGAGAAGCGGGAGGTGTTGCTTTCACTAAAAGGATGACATTATAGGAATACTTGCTTTTGACCTTCAATGATTCTGATGTTTAGAACAGACAGAAGACCCCACCTTATGTAACTTAGAAATGTGAGTATGATCTATGGCTTTGACCATGCTGGTACCCTTGATCTCCATGACCTGTGACCCATGAATTATTGATTTTTAATAAACATCATCTAAATCATCATCTAAATATGTGCATGGGAACAAATTTAATGACTCCTGACCCACTGATCTTTTGCAAGATATACAGTGGGTGTTGTGGTCTACACCTCATGATAGTTTTTTAATGTGTGTTTCTTCTCTGTGGCTCTTCCTGCGATTCCTACCCCTCTGTGGAGCATCGGGGAGTGCCACAGCTGACTGCAATATCCTAACTGCCACACTTGTATTTAAGCAGCTGTTCCCAGTGCACGGTGTGGCGTTGTTTTGTAGTGCTGCTTTGAGTATGTGGATCGCCATTTGTAGTCTTGTTTCAAGTAATGTCCTGTTAAGCCTTTTTTCCCCTTATGTGGTGATTTTTTGTTATTAAGATAACTCAGAACTGGATGAAGTCATTTTGCCTCCTGTATTTGGGTGTATTTATGTGTACTCTCAAGTGACAGTGGGATGACAAAGTTTGGGCATCCTTGTTAATCATCATGATTTTCCTGTATAAATCGTTGGTTGTTATGATAAAAATATAAAGTTAAAAATATCATACAGCAATATTTGAGATGTGAAACAAAGTTTATAGGTTTTACAGAAAGTGTGCAATAATTGTTTAGACAAAATTAGGATGGTGCATACACGAGGGCACTGTTATTTTACTGATTCAAAAACTTTTAGAACTAATTACTGGAACCGTTCAGTCATCTTCCCAGCTACCTGCTATAGTGAGAAAATGTCCCCAACTGAAAGGGGTGTCAGGGAGCGTATAACGGGCACAACTCAATCTTGATCACTCCTTTATACAACATACAACAGCAGGACAAGACACAACATACGCGCTGTCATAGCAGCCTGAGGTCTCACTACCCCCTTTTTTAGCACAACAGTTGCGTCTTCGATTCACGTCTTAAATTAGCTTTAATACCGAATACTGGAAGCGACTAGTGATTAGGTTGTAAACCTGCAATAAAACGCACATACACACGGGCAGAGGTATCAACAAAAAATCATTAGCAATATAACCAACTATCATACTCACCGGCGCTGCATCTCAACCCTGACCATCAGACGACTAACAAAAACTAGGCACTAAAGTTAGGCAAGCCAATATGAGCGTAAATGTTTACATCATGTACAAACTTATAACACATTTCACCATACGTAATTAACATAAACTCAAACGAATGATAAATAATCACTCATAACAAATTACGGTCTAGAACACAAAATGCTCTGAAAGGCACTACCTTGGTAACACACATATAATTATGATGCTTTCACAGGAAAGCTCTACAGGAACTTAAAATTGTTTTTTTTGGTTCACTTTGCATCATCCAACTAATCAGTGCACTTTACACAAGGAGATGCTGTATGCCAGAGTGATGCAGAGGAAGCCTTTTCTCCACCCACAGCACAAACAGAGCTGCTTGAGGTATGCTAACACATCTGGACAAGCCAGCTTCCTTTTGGGATAAGGTGCTGTGGACTGATGAAACAGAAATTTGGTTATTTGGGCATAACAAGGGGCGTTATGCAAAGACGAAAAAGAACACAGTATTCCAAGCAAAAACATCCAATACCTACAGTAAAACTTGGTGGTGGTTCCATCATGCTGGGGGGCTGTGTGACCGTGCCGGGAGTGGGAATCTTGTTAAAGTTGAGGGACACATGGATTCGACTGTCCAGGAATCAGTGACAAAGCTGAAGCCGCACCGTCGAGATCCATGAACTGCCCGTAGCCCGACACCGCGGTGCGGGTAGACAGTGGCTTCCCCTAGGACAACGCGAGCTCAGCCGCAAAGTCCAGGAAAGGTGGTAGTGAGTTTTTGACATTAGCTGATTCAGTGGGGAGACTAATTTATGCAGGCCTGCAGGTCTTCCCCTGTCTGTGGTGGATACTTTCAGAACTCGCACCAGTAAGGGTCTTTATGCCTAAAGGTGGAAAGTTTTTGAGTTTGAGCAGGTCCGTGGTTTCTTCGCAGTACTCCACTGTGGACATTTTGTCTTTTCTACAGGAACTACTGGACAAGGTTGGTCCTTCTCCACATTGAGGGTTTACCTAGCAGCTGTTTCTGCTTGCCATGAGTCTTTAAACAAGGTTTCTCTGTGGACTTTCTGATTCTTGAAGGGAATTCGCAAGCTGAGGCCTCTTGTTAGACTTTCTGTCCCTTTTAGGGACCTCATTTTGGTTCTAGAGGCCCTATGTGGTCCTCCATTTCAGTCGATCAACATGAAGTTCCTGTCAAGACACCCTTGCTCTTAGCCCTGGCATCGGCTAAGCGTGTGGGCGATCTTCATGCTCTTTTGGTTCACTCTTCCTGTCTGCTATTCTCAACACACAAGTCTAGGGTTACTCTGTGTCCAAATGCTGCATATATGCCCAAGGCCATCCCACTGACCTAAAGTTCTATGACCATAGGGCTTTCGGTTTTTCAATCATCCTCCTTTTGCCTCCCAAGAGCAGAGGAAGTTGCATTGTCTGTGCCCGGTTCGTGCTCTACAGGATTATGTGGACAAGTCAGACCAGCTGTTTGTGTGTTTTGCCAAACTATCCAAGAGTAAAGCTTTGTTGAGGCAAAGACTTTTATCACTGGACTGTGGAGGCCGTTTCCCTGTGATACAGTGTAAATGATTCTCAGCTGCTCCAAGGGGTCAGAGTGCACTCTACTAAAGGTGTGGCTACTTCAAGGGTGCTGTTTTAAGGGCGTTTCAGTTGGTGACATTTGCTCGGCTGCTAGCTGGGCTTCACCCCACGCTTTTGTGAGACTATACCGTCTGGATTTCATGGCCCCTTCGGTTGCTCGTGAAATTCCTTCTGCTGGGTCTGAGTTGCCATCTTAGATGGCGCTGTCGGCCCAGGTTTGATCGCTGCTCATGGGGCGTTTTTATATGTCCCATAGTACGTTCGCTGTACCGAGTGAATCACCTGAAAGGTAACGTCAGGTTATGCATATAACCACTGTTCCCTGAAGGAGAGGAACAAGGTACAACACAGGGCTGCCCCCTTCGCAGCCTAGCTCGTTGAAGAGTGGCTATCGAACTGAGAAATGCTGGTGACACTGGGGGTATGTAGGTGGAGGGTGGGGCCACTACTCAGCGTCACACTCATTTACCTTTACAAGTGTGATTAAATGTGTCTTCAGCAAGGCCACACGAGGGTGTGATGTCCCATAGTACCTTCGTTGTACCTCGTTAATGTTTTCACTTCCTCCAGTGGTTCACATTTTTATGTCACTTCTCACTCCTCGGTTTTTACCCCTCCTGTGTTAGAGGAGCTGTTTTGCAGAACCTGGCTCCTCCCACACCTGTCTGTCTCCACACTGAAGCTCCCACCTGGTGGCAATGACAACCAGCAGCTGAATGAGGACTCACTGCATAAAAGCCACTCAGCCCTTATCATAGAACAATAGCCTGGCGATGTAATCTCTGTCCTCCTCTGCAAGTTTTTTTTTAGCCAGTTTGTGTTGTGTGTGTGTACAGGGGGTTCCCCGATTAGTTTTAATTCTGTGTGATTAGCATTAAAAGTGGCTGAATAAAGGTTATTGTGTTTGACTGTTTTTGTTGCTGCCAATGAATACAAATGTATGTTAATTAGCCTCTGTTCATGAATTTCCCTTTGTGTAAATACATTTAAGTTAGCCTTTTAACACCCGAGCATGCATCCTTCTTGTTACCCCAGACCTCTAGTCAGCCTGGGCTAGGACAGTCAGGATGGTCACTGACAGAGCATCATATCTGTAGCGAGTGGAGAAGAAGAGGGTTGAGATTTGTCTTCATGCAGTGGAAGACAAATGCTAATGAACAGACTTGCTGCCGGTCTCCCCCGACAGATACACACAACACATTTGCATGTTTGCAAGGTTAAAAAAAAAAGAACGAGCTTGGTCTTCAGCCATTGCTCCAAGAAACTACACTATCAGAGGAAAGTTAACACAAGAGGTTATTTTTGCTAATTACTCACACAATGGATTGGTCTTTGGAATATTATGGTCAGATGCAGAATAAATGTGATGCAAACAGGAGGCAGAATAGTTGACATTAGGACTGTTAAAATAAAGCTCTATGTTTTACCAAACTTAACCAAAGAAATTGGCTTTGTGTTAAAAGATGACTTAAGCAATTGACCCTCTATTATCATCACAAGTGTCAACTCTTAACTAATTACTTTTCTTTCCACAGTAACTTAAGTTCAGGGAAAGGGTTTTCCCCATTTCCCAAAGTTGGATAGATTTGGGTTAGGTTAGTTACATTTCTTTAAAAGAACAAACCTTATTCTGACTTTACTTTATAGGTTAAATCTGAGGCGTTTCAGAAGACTGAAGGAGGGATCAGAGATCAGAGGTCACTGTCTTGGACCCTAACCTGTTTGTCATAAGCTGGTAGGATCAAAACCTGTTTATCTTTGTTAGTGAAAAACTCCTTTTCTACTGAGCAGCTGCAGAAAAACACCCTTGTTTCTAAATAGGCACTTTCAAATGCTTTAAATAAAATGAAAATTCTCTTTATTTAACTCCAAACTAAAAACATTTTCATTCTTTTTTAGGACGATGATTAGACTTTAAAGAGCTGGAAAGAAAAACATAATTCTGCTAATTCTTTAAGGTGAGATTTTGGTTTTGAGAACCTAGGTGGTTGTCAGAGTAACTTATTTTATTTACTGATTGAGAACCAGAGGTGTGCGCATGTGTGTGTGTATGTGTGTGTGTGGGTTGTCCCTACAGCATCTCTGCTGACATGGTGAGGATAAAGTATATCTATCCTATTTCTGATTGTGGATAGTTCTTTTACTATCTCAGGAAGATACATTGTACCATGTTAGCTGATTTACTTTTACAGAAATTTATATCTTTTGTGCTGATTTACCTGATTTTATTGATTAAAAATAAAGGAGATGAACTAAACTGATTAGACTTAGAGGTTTTCAAAAAGAACATAACTTTAGTGTCTGTCTGGGAAAATCAGGAGGAGTAGACAGTATACTGGACCCCTGGAGCGTGGAGTATCAGATAATGCTCTTAGCTAAGGAGAATACCAAATATAATGCCATGCATGGACATTATATTATTCCAGCACCACACAGGTCAAAGAGGGTCACAGGAGCTGACCATCCCTTGGGCTCCTGGATGGATTTTGTTGATTCAGACTTTTTGATAAATAGGCATTTTTCTCCCCTCAGAATTATGTGGCAAGGCTGATATTTACAACACTATTACGTCTGCTGTGTGAATTGTTTTTAAACTCTTTGTACTGTTTTTGAGACTCTGAGCATGAAAGGTTCAAATGTCATGCTGATGCAAAGGTACTGGTTTGTGTTTGACGGGCCTGGTGCAGCTAAAAGTTATGCTTATTTACCCAGAATTTTTTTCCTACATCTTACCTGTCTTTAAACTTTAATCGAGAAGAAATGGCCTGCAGACTGGTTTTAGGTTTTAATCTGGTGTGTACGTGAAGAAAACTGTAGGTTGAGGGGATTTGAGGGGCTCAAAATGGCTGATGGCATCAGGTTGAATTAAGGGTGACAGCTACCAATCACATTTGATAAATGTTGTTCAGATTCAATACATTCCATTTTGCAACAGGAAGGAAGTATGGATCAAAGGGTCCGAGGTCAGGAGTCATTAAATCCGTTCCCATGCACATTTCCGGATGATGTCCATTAAAAATTGATAAATCATGGGTCACAGGGCACGGAGGTCAAGGGGTCGAGGGTCAAAGCCACATTCCTAAGTTACATAAGGTAGGGTATTCTATCTCTCTTTTATAGTTTCACTAAAATGTGAAACCAGCAGCAGATGGGAGCTGACGTTCCTCTCCGTTACCTCGTTGCTCCTGCTCAGGCTCCTTTTGTTCTCTGTCTGCATCTCTTGCTGTTTTCGGACATGACTGCTCAGCAGACTTTCCTGCAGGGTCCGTGCACTCCGCTCCTGAGCTAGCAGTCTCTGGGTCTCACTGTGGACCTCCTCGAGCTAGATGTAAAACACGTAATCAAAACATAGAATATCAAACAATGACGATGCTGTGAAATACAACAAAACGAGTGCACTAATGAAGGTTAAAAACGTGCCTGCTTCATGTTGCTAATTAATGTCCTCATCTCCAGCTCCTGATTTCTGAGAGCAAGCTCCACTTTCTGCCTGTCCTGAATCTCCAGCTGCTGCTGCTCCTCCGTCCTCCTCAGCTTGTCTCTGGTAGTGTTGTACATCATGTTGGCATTGTGACGATTCTCCTGTTCCTGTTTCAGCTGAAACCTGGAAACAGAGAGGTCAGGTCATGTGACTGAACAAATACTCAGAGATCGAATGCGTTTGAAGAAGTTCTTACTTGAGGTTTGTGATTTCCGTCTGTAACTCCAGCTGACTTTGTTCCAGTAAAGACTTCAAATCTTTAACTTCCTCCAGTGAGTTCTTCAGCTCCGCCCTCTCCATTTCCAGCTGGCCCACCTTGTCAGACAGGTACCTATGGCGACTCCTAAGCTTTTGATTGGAGCGCTCATACTCATGGAAAATGTTCTGCAGCTTTGTAATGCTCGTTGAGTCTGTGGAGTCAAACAAAGCAGGGCCAGTCTTCTAAATGTCATTATGCACGTAGAATTTCAGTAATTGAGTATTTTTACAGACTTAATACCAAAATTGACTGAGTCCAGCTTTTGGACGAGTAGAGAAGCGTGACGGTAGCCAGACATGAGTGAGTCTAGGTCGTCGGTAGCAGTGTCAGAAGACTGAGTCAGTTCATCAAACTCCTCCGCCACGTCTACGTCCTCGGGGTTCTGAATGAGGAAATGACACGCGAGCCGTTTCAGACCAATCCAGCTACTATCCAGTTAATGACTAAATGTTGGCTTTACCTTGATCTTCTGTTGTCCAGCATGTGTTAACCTGAGAACACACACACGCACGCACGCACACGCACACGCACACGCACACACACACACACACACACACACACACACAGCTTTTAGAACATGTGCTCTATGAAAACTGCTTAGGAGGGACAGCTGATGGAAAACTGAGCACCGGTCCCATCCAACACCATTATAGTTGTGACTGAACTCCAGGTGTTGGTTACACATTAGTTATTGTCTTTGGCAACAAGAGGGATTTAATGGTTGTTATTGCTCAGCTGGACTCCAGGGGAATAAAGACTCAGGTTAGAAATCTTTGTGTTATCATTGACTCCGACCTGAGCTTCTCTGGACATATTAAGGCTATAACTAAATCAGCGTTTTAACACCTTCATCAGAGTCAGAGGTCTCATGTCCAGGCCAGACTTGGAGAAACCCATTCATGCTTTTATTTCTAGTCGGTTGGACTACTGCAATGGTCTCCCAACTGGTATTCCCAAAAAAGCTGTGAAGCAACTGCAGCTTGTTCAGAATGCTGCTGCTAGAGTCTTAACAAGAACTAAGGGAACGGAGCACATCACTCCTGTTCTCAGATCCCCACACTGGTTACCAGTAAACCACAGAATAGAATTTCAAAGTGCTCCTACTGGTTATCATGCATCGTCTCCACTGTAATCTGCACTGTAACTTGGTCTTCTCCTTTAGCTCTAAACCGTAATTCTATCTGTGTGTGTTTTAATTTGTGTTTTTATGTTGTTTTCATATTAAGTCCTGATAATTGTAAAGCACACTGAATTGCCTCTGTGTTTGAAATGTGCTCTATAAATAAAGCTGCCTTGCCTAATCACCAATGTAAGAACATCTTTAGGACTTCAGTTTTCATGCTCTTTATCATCTCCACCGTCTACAGGGTCACTTGTTAGAAAAGACCAAGGTTTGGGTGACAGCGTGAATTAGAGTTAAGCTTCTCCGCTCTGACGCTGGGTGTTTTTACATGACCCAACCTTCAGGTTAATTACAGTAATCAGACAGGTTAGTGGCAGAAAGTGAAAGAGTTGAAACAAAAGCAGCGTACTGCATTTATACCTTTGGTCATCGTCCGACACATCACTTAAAGAGCTATCATCAAACACAGAGAGAGGATCTCCGTTAGCATGTGTGCTGGTCTGAGGGGCTCTGCCGAGCCGGGCCCCTCGGACCACCTCCAGCTGTAAGGGCTCTGATACACCCTGCTTCTCTTGCTTCCTGCTACTGCAGCTCAGCTGGACTGGGAGGTGCGACAGTGCTGGATCTCTGTTGGTTCTGAAGAGAGCAACAACTCAGAGTCAATCTGGGGCCTTAAGGGGCATTTTAGAAGACTTAATCAACTAGACGTTTTAACTGGCTTTTCTCTGATGGAAGGACAAAACGTAATTACAAAACCCATACTATACACTTCACCCTGAGTGGATTACAAACGGTTTTATCTGAGCACAGAACTGAAGACATACCTGTGGATTCCTCCAGAGCGACTCAAAACAAAACCTGATCCAGGATCAGGTTTCTCAGCATCAACTTCTTCCACTGTTGTTCCGCCACCATCCAGGGAAGCACTTGATTTCTGATTCTTCATAGCCGTGTTTAGTGTTTCTTTGCCAACCTGAAACACAAGAGTTGATGTCATTTTTACTCCCTGGACCGGACAGAGTCAACAGGCAGAGACGTGTACCGGGGCCAGCCTTTTGAGGTGCTTTTCAGAGCTGTGTTTGTACACGATGACATAAATAATTCAGTCTCACTACTCCTGCTGGAGACCGAACACCTCGCTACTCCGTAAGGCCCACCGTACAGCATCAGATGTGGGACTCTTAAGCATGAGGGATTCCACGAATCGCGCCTGATTCATCAGTTATAATAGAGATCAATCAACAGCACTCCTTTATTCTCCTCTTCGTTAGTCATGTGACTTCTACAAACATTAGTCATCCTTTTCTTTACAAAACATAAAGAACAACAAGATAGAAAGAAATGTGTCGTCGTTCTTTGATTTGAACTTGAAAAGTCAAAAGGCCGACCCAGAGTCCGTCTCCACTGCAGCACCAGTTTTAAAGGCAAACAAAGCCAGTAAAGAATTGGATAAAATAGAGCAAACCAACACACAAACACACCAGAGACAGACACAATGAGAAAACATCAAAGAAGGCTGTTTTCACTCAGATTTCAGTTAAAATGTTAAATAATACATGCAAAATCCATGCATCATGAAAGAGCTCAGGTGGTAGAGCAGGTTGCCTCATGATCGGAGGGTCATGGGTTTGATTCCAGCTCCCGCCAGGGGTATCCTCCTGCTGTGTCCTTGGGCAAGACACTTCAGCCAACTTGCCTGTGTTAGTGGTGGTCAGAGGGGCCGACGGCGCCAAATGGCAGCCTCGCCTCTGTCAGACCTCCCCAGGGCGGCTGTGGCTACAAGCAGCTTACCATCACTAGCAGTGTGTGAATGTGAGAGTGTGTGAAAGCGTCTTTGGGGGTCTTGAAGAGGGCTATATAAGTTCAATGCATTATTATTATTATTACAGTTCAGAAGCTAAGCGTTCCAACCAGAAGCCCGCTCTGCAGGAAGGTAAGAGTGTAAACTGTAGTTGTAACGCATGTTGTGATTGTATTATAAGTTTTTACGATCTACCTTTGACATGTAAGGAGGAAGTGACATCCTCACTAGATCTGATTATGGTCAGCCTTTAAAACAAGACCTGTGCTTCACATCAAGCAATACCGAAGCCAAGGCTATAAAATCCATCAAAAACACGAGGAAAGACGGTAAATAAAATGAGGAATGGAGAAAGATGAAGACTAGAAGAGGGGACCTCTTTCATGAGCTGGGTCTTTCTTGTCTCCAAACCGAAGAACGTTACCTTCCCTACCTCGAGTTTAAATCTTTTCCTGTCCTCTTCAGAGGCGCGTCTGCTTTTTATGAACAGCTGAGACTCATCTTCTGGCCTAGTTTTGGTCCAGTCAGCTTCACTGAGATCAGCGGGCAGGTCTTTCAGGGGTGGACCTACTTCTGTTTTAGGATCTTCTTGAACAACAGAACGTATGGATGTGACAACAAGATCCTTGATGTTCATCCTCTCTGTATTCTCTTTCTGTGTTGAGTCGATCTGTGATGACACAGACTCCAGAACATCAGGATTAGGCAGATCCAGCTTGTGAGGAACCCTGCTGTCCTCAGACTTCTGCATCCGCTCCTCATCCAGTGACTCAGCAGCAGAGTCCTCCTGCCCAGACTCTCTCTGCTCAGGAATGGTGACCAGAACCGTGCTTCTCGCTCGAGCTACGGGTCGAACAAAAACATCACCTCCTTCTTCATCACTTGAGTCTTCGTCTGCAGAGGTCAACGCAGCTGCAGCTTCCTCTCTGTTTTCAGTAGGAGGTGTTGATTTAAAAAGTTCTCCAAACTTCTCCTTTAATTCACTGGCAACACTTTTAAAGGTGGATTTTACTTCCTTTTTCTCCACCTCCACCCAGAGTTTCTCGTAACGTTTCTCCCATGGTGCGTCTCCAGCAGCGGGGCCTTCGGGACTGAACTCACCGTCCTGTTCTCCATCATCCACACCACAGGAATCTGAATCTAGCTCACATCTATCTACTGCATCATCTTTCTCCTTTGATGGCATGGGTGGACAAAAAGGACAAAGATGCAAAAATAAAGTTTCACATCATATTCAAACAAATACGAATCACTCAAATATGAATGAACACGAGCTGAGAATTCTTAAGTTATGCTTTTAGATCCAAAAGTAATTATTTTCTTACATTTAAACGTGCAGACAACATACCGTAAATCCTCGAATACAGGCCTGTATTCAGTTAACGGCCGGGTCTCATATTTTGGCCGGTGTCGGAGTCGGCGGAGGTGAATAATGGCCGGTCTCTTATTGTGGCCGGGTGGAATGTGGTAACAAGCAAATACAGGGGGCGGTTGTGTCATCGTCTCACTTTTGATTTGCCAGTGATAGACCGCGAGGGTAACTTTAACCGTGCGGAGACGAAGAGGAGGCGAAAATTTGATATCAAGTTCAAAGAGAACATGCGCTGCAGAACACTGGGGAGCATTAGGGGTTGTATGAACTAGTCGACTTCACTATAGTGACCTGTTATGCCTGTCATCGACTAGTCGCTGTCACGTGATAATGACCGGCAAGATGCAGTCCACGGAAAAGACAGCAGCCTGCTGTCAGCAGGTGACAAGCTCCTGTTCTCGGGGGGGCAACGCGCTGTGCCAGAGCGTCGGTACTGACACGCGATCGTTCATGTCGGTTCATTTCCTTTAATGCTTTCTGTCTTTTATTTGCGCCTGATGTGTTTCTCTGCTGTGGAGCGGGGCGCATCAACTTGTCATCCGGTGACGCACTGATCACTGATGCGGCCGGCAAGCAGCGAGCACTCCGCTGTTTTTGCGGTCGGTAGATCTTTTAGAACTGCAGTTCAAAGGTAACTCATGAGGTGAATATATATGAACCCAGGTAACAGTTTCTCTTTAGGATTGAGAGGAGATGCAGGAAGATAATAAACAGACAGGACAGAAAAATAGTCAAATAAAAATAAGTTAGTTTTTGTACCTGGTGGTTGCAACAAACAGACACCATTGAAGGTAATCAGAAGTGAGGAACAGAAAATGAAATAATTATTTTAATGTTTAGAGCAGCAGGAACTCTGAGAGGCTGCAGGCGCATCAGTGAGTTTGCGGCCGCTGCGCAGGGGGAGGGGGGAGAGGGCTGAAGCAGAAACTACCGTTGTTAAAAGAAATGTGTTAACTCTGAAAATGTGGGCGCAATTTTAATTGTCAAAAACTTCAGCGAACCATTAGTTCATTTTGCTCAAATAGAAATAGAGGCCTGCCTCTAATTCTGGCCCTCCTTCCAATAAAGGCCTGGAGATTGATGAGCTTGAGTCAAATACAGGCCCGGGCCTGTATTAGAGGATTTACGGTAATCAGGAATACTCTAGAAAACCATCAACTACTGATTATTACTTTAAATAAAAAGCTCTTGGCCAGAAAAACAAATCTGATGACTGTGCAGAACTTTCAGAACCAAAGAGGGACTGGATGAAGCATGTCTCAATGATGACTTTCTGATATTTTCCAACAATGTGAGTTTAGGTGATTGGTGCTATTTTACCAACGTTACCCACCATCTGTTGCTGCTCATCAAACTCTGAGCTCCCATCACTGTCTTCTGCCCTCAGAGAGAGCTCATGGGAGCCTGGGAGGACACAGCGTCACTGACCAGAACACATCAAGGCTGGATTACATTTAAAAAGCAACAACCTTACCTGGTTCAGCAGCAGCAGGAGGCTCAGCCAAAGGTTTCAGCTGATTGTCATCTGGTGATGTGACTTCATCTGCGTCCCAATCTGATTCTGAAAAACAAAATGAGTTGTTTCAGTTAGGATTCGGTGAAAACACAAAGATCACGAAGCATCTTGCTACACTTTACTTTCTTCACTCTCTGCTTTCTGAAGCAGCATCGTCCTGGCTTGAGGTTGGGGCTGAGGAGCGGGTTTAGAGGGTGTGTTGTCAGAACCGAGGCTCCTTGGAGGTGTTGATGCAGGAACAGCATCTCCTTCTTGGTCCTTATTACATAATTTAGAGTCATGGCGAAGCTCTTCCAGCCCAGGGGAGACTGTTCTGCGTCCAGGCAGTGTTCTCTTACTGGTGGTACTGGCCGAATCCCAGTCTGATGCATCTGAGCATGAAATTGTAGATCAATTAAAAAAAGGCGAAAGGTGAGTTGACGTCAAGACAACCATCAAAGCTAATAAAGAAGACACAGGTGTGATGAAGATGGTTTCTCCATCTAATGGACCACTAAAACAACAATAACAGTTCTACCTATTTAAGGGTCATTTGTACTGATCTGCTTTTTGAGCTTAAAAAACAAATCATACAAGAAACAGTCAGGGCAGAAACATCACTGGTGCATGTAGAGAACGTCTTGAACCACCTCACTACCAAATGCAACAAGTTTTAACACCATCCATCATCCATCCATCTTCGGCCGCTTATCCAGGGTTGGGTCGCGGGGGCAGTAGCTTAAGCAGCGAGGGCCAGACTTCCCTCTCCCCAGCCGCTTGGGCCAGCTCCTCCGGGGGAATCCCAAGGAGTTCCCTGGCCAGGTGAGAGACATAAGTCTCTCCAGCGTGTCCTGGGTCTTCCTTAAGTTGTTCTCCCGGTTGGACGTGCCCGGAAACCTTCACCAGGGAGGTGTCCAGGAGGCATCCTAACCAGATGTCCAAGCCACCTGAACTGGCTCCTCTCGATGTGGAAGAGCATCGGATTTACTCTGAGCCCCTCCCGGATGACTGAGTTTCTCACCCTATCTCTAAGGGCCACCTAGCAGAGAAAACTAATTTTGGCAGCTTGTACCCGCAATCTCATTCTTTCGGTCACTACCCAAAGCTCGTGACCATAGGTGAGGGTAGGAAAGTAGATCAACCATTAAATCGAGGGCTTTGCCTTCCGACTCAGCTCTCTCTCCACTACGACAGACCGGAACAGTGCCCGCATCACTGAAGACACAGCACCTATCCCCCTGCCAAAATAGCGCTCTAGCTTTCCCTCGCCCATGAACAAGACCTGAGATACTTAAACTCCTCCACTTGGGGCAGGACCTCATCCCTGACCCGGAGAAGGCATTCTACCCTTTTCCGACTCAAGACCTTGGTCTCGGATTTAGAGGAGCTGATTCTCATCCCAGCTGCTTCACACTCAGCTGCAAACTGCTCCAATGAGAGCCAAAGATCACATTCTGATGAAGCCAGCAGGACCACATCATCAGCAAATCACACACACCTGATCTTTAGGCCACCAAAACGGATCCCCTCAACAACTTGGCTGTGCCTAGAAATCCTGTCCATAAAGGTTATGAACAGAATCGGTGACAAAGAACAGCCTTGGCGGAGTCCAACTCTCACCAGAAATGAGCCAGACTTACTGCCGGCAGACCAAGCTCTGACACCGGTCATACAGGGACCTAACAGCCCGTATCAGAGGGCCTGGTACCCCATACTCCCCCCGAGGCACACGAACAAACACCTTCTCCAAATCCATAAAACACGTGTAGATTGGTTGGACGAACTCCCACACACCCTCCAGGATCCCCCAAAGGGTATAAAGCTGGTCCAGTGTTCCACGGCCATAATGGAAACCACATTGTTCCTCCTGAATTTGAGGTTCGACAATCCGCTGGACCCTCCTCTCCAGAACCCCGGAATAGTCTTTACCAGGGAGGCTCAGGAGTGTGATCCCCCTGTAGTTGGAACACACCCTGCGGTCCCCCTTTTTAAATAGGGGGACCACCACCCCAGTCTGCCAGTCCAGTGGGACTGCCCCTGATGTCCACGCGATATTGCAGAGCCGTGTCAGCCAACACAGCCCCACAACATCCAGAGTCTTAAGGAACTCTGAGTGGATCTCATCCACACCTGGAGCCTTGCCACAGAGGAGCTTTTAACACAATTACTGTAGTTTAAAAATCTGATGAAATTCAGATTTTAGAAAAAGGTGCGTTAAATTAACTTTATCTTTATGCTTTTTTCTGAGAAACCTTCAGTTTCCTGTTGCAACCTCAGACGTGTGTGTGTGTGTGTGTGTGTGTGTGTGTGTGTGTGTGTGTGTGTGTGTGTGTGTGTGTGTGTGTGTGTGTGTGTGTGTGTGTCTATGATGGGTCCTTGGCTCCAAACAGCTCAACTCTTGTTTATAAAACTTAACTCCAGAGGGGAAAACTAGAGAACCAGCAGTTAAGGTGGAATACCTCAAACTAAAAAACTAACAAACATTATATTTTAATGCAGCCTAGTAATAATTACTGATGACCCATCATTGAAACTGTGTTTTATAAACAGCTGTTTTAAAAACAACATTAAAGGCAGCAGAGCTGCCACAGTCAGGAGTGTTAGAGCCAAGCCCCCACAATGCGGCTCTAAAATTGGTCTCAACCCGGAAGTACCAAACATTGCAGTTCCACCCTCATCCGCTGGGGGCTGGTGTCAGAAGTGAGCAAATCCTCATTGACTCCCATGTTAAAAATACCAATTTCACAGCAGAAATAAACATGTTTACAGCCTAGTACCAAAACATGTTTTTGTTTAAATGATCTAGTTTACACTCATGACAACTCTGAGGGGGGTGAATTTTTTTCTCACTCTTCTGTTTAAGTGTATTTAAAGCCTAAAATTCTGTATAATTAATGAGCATCCGACCCACGTGACCGCAGAGCTAGCTCCGTGGAAAGGCCTCAGTAGAGCCTCGGTCTGGATTGGAAACTGCTCCGGGATTTTGAGTCTCTGTGTTTGTGTTTTCTTTTTTGGATATTATTTGTGCAATTGTTGGACAAAATGACTTGCTGTGGCATTAGTTTCACTAATAGAGCGTCCAAGGAGTCTCCACGCCATTTTTTTCGGTAAGTAAAATTATTTTTATGTATTTTAGGTCACTGCCGAGCTGAGCTTAGATTTTAACATGTACTGTTTAACCATGAAATTTAAATGTAATAGGGTAAAACCCAGTGCATTTAACATAGTGCTGCACTTTAGAAAATGGGTTGAAATATAACATGTTGGTGGAGCTGGGTTCCCACTATCGGCTTGTGAAGATCTCGGGAGACCGATGTTTTCCACCCATTCTCCCCTCCCCGCAGCTCAGCGCATCTCTGTCTGCTGTGCAGCTGCCGGCTTGTGGAGCTCTCGGAGACCTCTGTGTTCCACCCGGTTTTACCCAGCAGTCAGCCCGGCGTATCTCTGACTCAGAAGCTCTGGTGTTGTGCACAGTTAACTCCGGTTGTAGCTAGGTTGCTACCTCCATTAGCTTAGCTACCACCTCCGCATTAGCTTTGGGTTAGCTTCAGGTTAGCTTGTAGCTAGTTCAACCGGGTGTCGTCAGTTGATCCCAGCCTTACAGCCCCACCCTCAGCTCCTCCTCTCTTCCCTTTTATGGAATTGTCTGGGCTTGACGGAACCTGTGACACGGTCAAAATGGCGTTGGTGGCCACCTCCCATTTTAGTACAAAAACTTATTATTGGAGTCTATGGAAACCCATTGTCCATATATGTATGTCGATGGTTAGAGCAGAATCAAAAGTGAACTTTACTGTAGCCGCTGGTGACTACCATCAAAAACCTCCATTCAGCCACACTGAACCAAGATTTTTGTCCTGAAGTTTAATTTCTGTCTGAATCTTGTGGGAAATGTAATCATTACGAGAATAAATTGTGACATTAGAGTAAACATTCAAGATAAACAATTGGGAGCAAAAATATCATCTCACCTTCAAGATCATCAACATCCCCCAGACCCAGCTCCTCCATGAAGTCTGTTCCATTGAAACAGAGCTCATTAAACACAAACACTTCTTCATATCACGTGTTTTGTTTGCATTGAATTTTACCTTTTTTTGAATCAAAATTCTCTTTGGGTTTGTTCAGCACACTGAGTGTTTCCCATTTTGTCTTCTAGAAAGAAAACATTGACTTTAACACATCTCAGTGTTTCAAATGTGCAGCGTTAGAGGATGAACCCACCTCCTTCTGTGGAGCATCGCCTTTATCATCTGGATCCTTACTGATGTTTGCAGCTAGAAGAGGTGAGACACGTTTAATTGAGGGACTATCTGTGTAAAAATAAAATGCCCCTTTTAGGCTAAACACTGGAAAAACATTCCCATGCACATGAGCTTGAGGTTAATGTACTGTACCATGGGCAGCACTAGGCGGTAGCTAGGGGTTGAACTCCCCCCTCCCAGGCACCCCTCCATCCGTGTCGATGGACGCCGGAGGGTGGGGTGACCAGATGCCCTGCTTTGTGGGGGACTCCCGCATTTTCATTACTTTTCACTCATCCTACAAATTGAGACTCTGTTTCGCATTTTTTGACAGTCTCCCATTTCGAATTTAAATCTTGCATAAACGTTGCGGAGGAAGCCGTGGCTGTCAATCAAACTAGGAGGCGGGACATTAACACTGGTTAACACAAAAAGCACATTACAGAAATGCTGACAGGAACTGAAGCCTTGATTACTTATAACCAGAATTTTCAGAAAAAAAGTCAGAATTTTAAGATTAGATGTGATTTTTTCCCCCAGAGATTCAGTCAGTGATGTTTTTTTCTCTTCCCTAAAAATTCAGTATGAGATTTGTTGTCTTTTTTGAATAAATACCATTTTGTTCATGTTTATGTATTTAGCAGACGCTTTTGTCCAAAGCAACTTACAAGTGATATTCGGCATGTTGCCCTTGAGGCTAACAACAACAATAACAACAACTTGACATCAGTCATGGAGAGGAGGGAACAAGGAGTGGACGGTAGAGAGGGGGGACGGGTGCAGGGAGGGTGCTAGTTAAGAAGATGCTCTCTGAAGAGCAGGGTCTTCAGGAGTTTCTTGAAAATTGAAAAAGAAGCCCCTGTTCTGGTAGTGCTTGGAAGGTCATTCCACATTTGTGGAACGATGCATGAGAAGAGTCTGGATTGTCCTGAGCGTGGTGTAGGCACTGCTAGCCGACGATCCTGTGATGACCGGAGTGGCCGGGCCAAGACGTAAGCCTTTGCAAGAGGATTCAGGTAGATGGGAGCCGTACCATCTCGGACTTTGTATGCTAGTGTTAGCAATCTGAATTTGATGCGTGCTGCTAGCGGTAGCCAATGGAGCTCAATGAACAGAGGGGTGACGTGTGCTCATTTTGGCTGATTGAAGACCAGACGCGCCGCTGTGTTCTGGACCATTTGAAGAGGTCTCACAGTACAGCCTGGAAGACCAGTTAGAAGGGCATTTCAGTAATCGAGGCGGGAGATGACGGTAGATTGCACCAGCGTTTTTTAAATTAAAGGTGTAGGACAGTCGTTTCATTCATACATTTGCAGTGGTCTAGAAGGAATCAATCTTGTAAGTCGTACAAGGGGGAAAAAAACACTGGTTCACCATATTTAGGAACTAGATAATTGCCACTTCAGATGAGTACAGGAATATATACTACTACTAACATTAACAATTGTATGTATGTTTAACAGTGATGTTAGAGCTGAAAGGCAGAGTAGTTTTTTGTCCTACTCATGTTTCCAGTTTATTTCATTGCATTGGACTTTCATGTTGTCCCAAATAAAGTAGTCTCTGTCCCACATCTGGTGAGTTTGGATCTGGTCACCCTACCAGGGGTGGGGACACCCCAACCCCACTTTCCAGTCGGTGCTGAGGGAGAGCAGCAACCCCAACTGCTCACCAAGCAACATCCCATCAGCCAATCAGATACACGAACATAAAATGTGAACAGGACACAGCCTGAGGATCAGCCAAGGTTTGGGCGACACAAAAGCAGGTTTAGTTCTAATTCCAATCTGTTAAAATGGTGTTGATGAGCCTCAGGCAGGATGAAGCGGTGATGCTGCATGCAGTCTCATAATTATGTGATAATGAAGTGATGGTGAGGTCTCTGGTTAGCATGAGTCAGGACAGGTCATACCCTCTCTCTGGCTGCTCTGCGGCCAGCCTACACACTTGTAGGGCTCTATCTCTGCCATCCTACTGCCTTCACCCCCTCTTAAAAAAGAAGGAATGTAAAACATGTCTAAAAAGGAAAAGCAACAAACTGTAAAAACATGTTTTAAAGGACAACAAGTATGTCTGCATTTATTTTTTAATAGAAGACAAAATGAGACCATTTCCCCACAGACGACATCAATGGATGAAAGCATAATTGTTGTAACATTTAACACATACATTTTCAATCTTAGCACACTGTTTCCACTGCATGGGATGGTGGCTGAGATGACTTCATCTAAAAACAACACTAATTCATTCAAAACACAAACGGCGTAATAAAACGAACTTACGTTCGCCGAGTGTTGCTTCAGTAGGAGACAGCTCCTCATGCTGGTTGTCTTTATGTGGTACATTTTCATTTTCTGAGTTTGACTTGAAAAGGGACAGAATCAAGAGTGATGAGAGTGAAAAAGAATCAGGAGTGTTTTTTCAAACATTACTTTTCTGTACCTCGGAGTCGAATGAATCCTGATCTTCTCCTTCCTCCAAACCCAGCTCAGACAGGAAGTCTGCTCAAATATAGAAACTGATTAGTTAAACGAGCAGAAAAAGTTTATCTGACAGAATTTTCTAGTCTTCTCCTCCTTGAATCGTCACCTTATCATGGTGGAGGAGTTTGAGTGCCCTAATGATCCTAGGAGCTATGTTGTCTGGGGCACTTTGTGCCCCTGGTAGGGTCTCCCATGACAAATTGGTCTTAGGTGAAGGGTGAGACAAAGAACGGTTCAGAGGATCTTTCATGGATGTAAATTCAAAGAGTCGGAGTACCCAGCCCGGAGGGTTACCAGGGTCCCTGGGGTTGGGGCCCGTGAGCGAGCGCCTGGTGGCCGGGATTTCACCCACGGGGCCCGGCCGGACCCAGCCTGAACCGGATACATGGGCTCATCCAACTGTGGACCCGCAGGAGGAACATGAAGGGTCCGGTGTAATGTGGATCGGGTGCCGGAGGAGCTGGTGGAGGTGGCCGGGGAGAGGACGGTCTGGAGCTCCCTAGTTGGGATGCTGCCCCCGCGACCTGGACCCGGATAAGCGGAGGAAGACGACGACAAATTTTCTAGTCTTTTTGTCCACAGAACGTTTATTTATTAGACTATGTTTATTGTCACTGATCCAGCATCCAGGTACAACTAAAATGACTCAGATGAATCAGAGCAACCCACCCAAGATTTGACATACAACAAAACAGAATCAGGCTGAACTGTGGGCAGGACACCTTTATGGTGCTCCCACTTATACAGGAGTAAAACAAGATAGAGGAGAGAAACCAACTGGGGGGAGGGGGATGTCCCTCCGCCTTGCTCCTGAGGGAGCAGCAATGAAGGTTCAGGAAAACCTCGATAAGCACATATAACGGACAATCACAAACTTAAATCCACAGGAGGAGGGACGGAGGGAAGCCCCGGTTCAACCGAGAGAGTCCGCAGCATTCAGTGCGCGCTTCCTCCCTCGCTTCCAGAGTGGTGAAGGAACGTACCGAGTGAGCAGTGAGTCCTGCATGGCTTTGTGACCTTACACCCAGACCTACAGTTCTATGTCAGGAATAGATTAGGAGGGGGCAAAGCCGCATTCATTCCTCAGGGAGATTTGAGCTCTTCAGCCGAGGCCGAACAGGTAGTCAGATTCACATAACAATTACAGTTTTGGAGCGGGCCAGAGACGTTTGTATTTATGTGTATATTTTGAAAGTTTCTTTAAAAAAGTGAGTAAATAAAAAATCTAAACACGAGCTAAACAAAGTGCCCTCTAGTGGCTGATTCCAGTAAATGTCATAAGCCACAGCCCCCCCCATGAAAACATTTTCAGGATTAAGATGAAAACACACTCAGCTGTTCTTGTGTTTTGATTTATAGTTCTGACTTAAATACTAATGGGTGAAATATTACAGCTTGTTTAATGTTAGCTGTAAGGAGTCACGTGATGCTTAATAACACCACTATTATGTGGATGAGTAGGTGGAACGTAGAACCTTACAACACTAGTGAGCAAACTCTGGTCCCAAACATACAAGACGGCAAAGTTTACGTTTTAGAATGGATGGACTTTATCTTGAGAAGTGAGAAGATAGCATCCATAAAGAACAAACTAATCCATACCTCTTTTCTTTTCCTGAGAGTCTTCTCCTTCAGGAGCAGGTGAAGTGGACTCTTCACCTCCTTCAGACTGATTATTCACATCTGATACATCTTCCTCTTCCTCGTCCTCCTTAACCTGATCCTGTTCTTCATCGCTGTAATCCTCGTTATCTGTGGATTCTTCTTTCTGTAAAATAAAACTGCTTATTCACAACTAACCTAAACACCTTTTCACTGAGCTTTTGGATCCATAAGCCAAGGAACCAAGGAACAAGCCAACCAAAACAGGAGGAATCTGATGACTACAAACTGCACATGAAGGTCTCTGTTTTACCTCAACACCGGGCCCATGCTGTCCCACGCCTGTGTTTTCGTCTTCATCAGGTGAGTTGACATCAACGTGATCAATGTCAGTCTGAGGCAATGCTTCATCTGAGAACATGTCGTCGTTTTTGGTAGGAGGACTAGACAAGGTACTTCTCCTACTGTGTTCTTCATTGAGGTTGTCTCTTGTTTCTGTAACAAGTGGACTCTGCTTTTCCAGAGGAACATATGAGGTTAAGAAAGCCCCATCATCAAGCTTCCCAACCGTGGCCTCGGTATGTTTCTGATGCTTGCTGTCAGAGTCGTCACTCGACTCGTGTCTGCCATCAGCCATGTTTTCATAGTCGTCATCAATAATGGAGCGTGGAACGGCTTCACCGTCATCACTCTCATCAGCGTTTCCATTTCCTGTTCCCTTCTTGTCTACAACCAAAGGTGATGACGATGTGACTTTAGAAAAAACTGATGTCTCTTTTCTTTTCTGATTTTCTGACTCATCACTTTCATCTTCAACATCCCAATCACTATCCTCTTTCTCAATCTCAGACTCTGGTTTGTCATCTATTTGTGACAACTGAGCCACAGATCCTGCACCATCATCGTCCTCCAGTAATGCAGACACCACAGGGGAGGGGTTGTGTGACTCTTTCTCAATGCTTCCCTGATCTTCTTCCCAGGAGCATTCATGCTCCTCTTTGGTTGGGTTTTCTGGGATAGTCTTTACTTCACAGTTAACTCTAGACCCAACATCATCATCGTTTTCAGAAGAATCCCACTTGGACTCATCAGCAGTGGGTGTGGTTTTGTGCTCATGCCAGCTTGTAAACAAATGAGGATGCTCTTCATTTGGAAGTGAAGTGGTTTTAGAAACACGTGAAGCTGCTCCTTTAATGCCAGTTTCCAGCTGAAGGGTCTCACCTTCTCTGGGCAGGTCCGTGTCACTGCCTTCCAGGGACGAGCCCCAAGAGGATCTACGTTTCTCACCTTTCCAAACCTTTTTATCTGATCCTTCAAAATCATCCCCATCAGTCAGAACATCTGCATGAACTGTACCAACTCTGGCTAGCACATGTTTGGAATTAGTGATCAAAGCGCTGTGACCTTCTGTGTTTTTATTATCCTCATCACCGCTTTCATCATGGCTCCAGGACTTTTCCTGATCTTTTCCCGTTTCTCTGTTGGTCTCTTTCACCTCACCAGGTGATGGTGTGCCCACTCCCAGTGAAACTACATTTGACATCCTGTTTTGACCTGATGGCCTCAGAGAGTCCCTAGCGAGGCTTTCTTCTTCATCAGAAAATTTAGCCTCCACTCTGATGGCGGACACAACACAGTCTTCAGGAACATCTAATGTCACCGGCATTGCATAGGTGGTTTTTACAGAAGGGTGGGGTAGGTTAACATCTTCTGCCTCTGCTTTGGTAGTGTCCTCACCCGTCTCACCTTCAGCTCTGGGAGGAACATCAGAAACAAGAGTGCTGTTGATCTTCACACCATCAGTTAAAGAAGGTCTCCTGAGGTCTTCAGAGACAACTAGGACATCAGCTGTACTGCTAACATCACCCTCCTCCACTGATTCTTCTTCATTCTCTTCATCTCCATCATCCTCCTCTTCCTCTTCATCGTCATCCTCCTCCTCTTCCTCCTCCTCCTCTTCTGCTGAGCTTTCCTCATGAGAGTCATTGCTTTGATCACTTTTTGAATGTTCCTCTGAGTGTTTTCCTTCCTCCTCCGCTGAGCTGTCTCCTTGTTTTTAATAAAACAAAAGGAAAAGGAAGGAAATTTGTCAAAGAAAAGCAGCAAGCAAAACAAAAAAGTTACCTTTCTGTCTTTGGACAGAGGTGTGGAGGACATCTGGGATGCTTTGGGAAGGAGGGGACCTGATGGGGTGTCTACTGAGGGAGTATTGCTAGAAGTGGAAGCCTTTGGGATGGACGGGGTTCTCTCGCCTCTATTTGCGGTTTCTGGCTCTGACTCGGAGCAGCTCGGCGAAGTGTCCAGTAGTGCAGAAGCTACAGAGCAGGGAGGGATAAGGGATAACTACCAAACACTACAAACTACAGCAGCATTCATGCAGGAGACTGGTCGAAATCCTTTACCTTCTTTTTTAGAAGCAAACATTCTGTTTAGGAATTCTTTTGATGGTTTCTAAAAACAGAGGGAACAAAATGAAGATTAGAGTTGACCTGATGATAAAATATGAGCCAAAAGGACGCGAGGAGCTCCAACCTTTTCATCTAAAAGTGATTCATCCTCATCTGATGAAGGCCATTCATCGTCAGCGCTTTTAGAAACCCTGATAAACAAACATGGATGCTTAAAGCTGGGAAGTCATTTACATGAAACTGTAAAACGCAGCATCAGAGCTGTGCTCACCGACTTGCTGACTCTGACAGGGAATGGTCTTCTACATCTGCAACAAGGCAAACAAAATCATTTTCTATTTACCCTCATTTAAAATGATTTCAGCAAGAATTCAGTTCAATGTGACAAACGGTCAACGTTTTAAGTCTAATAAACAAAGAAGTAAGATGAGACGAAGCTAACTAGAACAAGCTGATTATAAACCAAGTTATTCAGTAACAAAACTAATTCATGACTGAGCATGAAAGTAGCTCTATGATTTCAACCTCTCAATTCACAAGTGCAGTCTAAAAAAATCACAGACCTGACCTGAACCTTGTCAGCTGATCAGCCCAAACTAGAGGCTTTTAGCTAATTATGCTAACACTGATGGACCAAACAGACTGGGTCTCACACTGGCAGCTTCATTTTTAATTATTAGAATTATTAACTTACATATTTTCATGTTGAAATTTGGATCAATGAGGTTTTTAGTCAAATACATCTAAAGTCATTAGACAAAAACTGCAGACAGGTAGGAAGGAGTAAGAAAAATAACATTTTGATTTTAATGATAAAACGTGTGAATTTAAGTTCATATTACTGCAGGAATATTTTGACAGAAGATTGTTCAAAAACATGATGCCTTATCTGTAAATATAAGGATTTATCATCAAGATGGACCCCTGATTTAGACAAAGAGAACACATCACAGCCTCTGATATTGACTGACACTGATTTTCCTAACAATCCAATAGTACCTCTCCCTGCTTCATTTGTTCCGTGCTCTAGATCCAGTCAAGACGTTATGCATGAGGAGTGAATAAAATGAATCAGATCAGTGATGAACAGACACAATAAAGTTTATTTTCATTTACTAAAACACTATGAATCAAAATCTGCTTAACTGTTTTTGTCAGTGGCTGGTCCTCCCAAAGACAAGCCTGCTTCAACGTCCTGAGAAGGGTTACCCAAGCCTTTTTTCTTCTTGCTTGGACCCTGATTTAACACCAAGGCCCCCCCGGTCCTCTGCGTAGCGTGCTCTGTGATCAGGAGGGAGCAACTGCAAACCGAGACAGGACACTAACTGATTTAGTCATTCAGTCGCCCTGCAAAGCCACAAATTCCACAGTGAATCCCATCCTAAGACTCACGGATGATGGCCCGTCATCAGTGCATACTCCTCAGCTGGCAGCCCTTTGGAGTCTGTGAGTGTGATGTCTGCGTTGAACTTCAGCAGCAGCTTCACCATACTGATTTGTCCATTACCAGCAGCCAACATTAAAGGAGATCTGGAGGTTAAAACGAATGACCTCAAATTGTTATATTTGTTAATAATCAAACACTCGATCTTTATTAGTCATGATTAAAGTAGACGTGTGTTTTAACACTAGCCTTTGTTCTTGGTCCACAGCATTGACATCAGCAGACTCTTTCAGGAGAAACTCGGCCATTTCTATGTGATCCTCCCGAACCGCTACAGTCAGAGGTGTGAAGCCCTCCTAAAGCGTAGTTCACACTTAGCTTATTTACTAGCACCATGCTGTAGCTGACACACACTTGAGATGCATCTATACAGGTGTGTGTATGGAGCAAAAATCACCTTGTTATGAGTGTTGATGTCAGCCCCATATTCCAACAATAGCACTGCTGTGGATATGGATGGGATGTTTGCTGCTAAATGGAGAGCTGTGTTGCCATTGATGTCCACGAGGTTGGGCTCTGCATGATTTTCTAACAAAATGTTCACACAGCGCTCATGTTGGCCTTGCACCGCCTGTAAAAGCAAAGAATATACTTTATGTCCTCAGCTAGAAGCAACAGCAAAGGTGATGTTTATTACTGAATTTGGTCTGAATCAGCATCAGTGTCCAGGATTACCTTCATTAAGGCGGATCTATTTTGATTGTCACATAGGTTAAGCTTGGCTTTGCTCTCAACAAGGAACTGGACCACGTCTGCATGACCACTTGCACAACCAATATGAAGTGCTGTTCTGCAAAAGTACAGAGGAGAGTTTCTCACAACAAGAACATTTAAAGGTGAACAAAAGTCTCTTACTGACATGTTAATTATTACTCTAACCCATTGAACTTGAACTTCACTTTTTTCCTCATAAAATTATGAATTTTATGTTCAGTGCAAAACAATCTAAATGAATTTCACCCTTTAAAGCACTTATGCTTCTGACACATGCTATATGCAAACAGGAAATGAGATCCTTCCTGGAAATATAAGAAAAAAAAACACCTGAGGTGTCATGCAATTAAGACAACACACTAACAGTAGTTTGCTGTTAAAAATAAATTATACAGATTCTTGTTTGTTCACAGTAAACGTATAAGACCTAGTCATAAAACTATATTAACTATGCTCTATCCCAGAAGAGTAAGAGATGATTTTTTCTTGTTCCTGTAGATTGTTTACATAGATGTGCACAGCAGCAACTTTCCTCACCTGTTCTCCTTGTCAAGTTGATTGATATCATTCTTCTTAGCGAGCTGCTTTAGCTTAACCAGATCACCGATAAAAGCAGCCTTGTGAACCTTCCCAAGGTCTTTCTCCTTCAGGTCATAGCCAGCAGACAGCACACTGCCATTGTCAGGTGTGCCAAACTGCTGTTTCTTTTTCTTTGTGAAGCTAAATATCTTCTTCATGGTATTTGTCAGTACAGCGTTGACTTTGAAGAGTGACTACCTTCCACTCATCTGCTCCCGGGGGGTCACCACAGGCAGCTCTCCCATCCCTAAAATAAGACGTAGAAAGCGGATTAGACAGTCGGTGGTGTCGCTTGATGATAAGGATATCAGTGATCGTCATTCAGTAATAACAAGGGTTGTTTTTGTGAATTTGACTGACTCCATATATCGGGAGATGACACTGCGTAGCGGCTGTCTTACGGCTATGTTATTACCGCTACAATGCTCGGTAACAGATGACTGTTATGTTAACCAAAGGTGCAAATTTACAGCGTACCTTAAGGCTCCATCTGCTCCCCCGTAGCAACAGTAAGGGTTACGTATAACAAAATAACACGTTTATGTTGTTATCAGTGTTTGGACGCCAATCACATGAGCAGTTCTTCCGCTAGCTAAGGTCTGCGTTCCATGAACGTAATAAGTGTTGTAGCTTCTTGGCTGTCACCATAGCAACCTACTGTAGAAATTATGATTTTTGTTTTATTAGCTTTAAATTGACCAAATAAATTACCACATTTCCGCTCTTGTCAATACAGGATGGAAACAACACATTTAAATTACAGCGGAAACCATCCATAACATTATACAGAGGATTATCTGTTGCCTAGCAACATAATCTAACTTCGGGCGGCTCATGCTACGCCTCCCATGTTGATGCAAACCGCCACATTTAAAATGATTATGTAGGGACGCCAAACGCAGCTCGGACCAAGCACGGACTGTTACTACACCCAGGAAACAGCAAAGCTTGTTTACAAACGTCTGAAGCGGTTAATAAGGACCTCAAAATCAGTACAGTAACATTGCTAGCACAGTGCTAATTGTAAGAATCAAACTTGAGTTCGAAAATAACTCGTATATACGTGAACGTTTTAAAACACCATCAATAGGATCGTGCCCGCATTTGAATGTAACAAAACAGTATAATACTAAAGTTACTAACCTGCTGATTGTCAAAGTTAAGCCACTTTCATAGCAAAAGCTATCAAAAATGTTGCAATACTATGATGCTGCCTGAGCGTTAAACAAGCCAATCCGAAATAAGTATAATACATACGTCACTTTCATTGACCAATGGGTGACCTCTATTTCTAAATCAAGGTTGGTTTATAAAGCAGTGTGGAAAATGTGTCAGAGAAATTGCAGAAGTTTAACACACGATGGCGACATTTCTTTAAAAGTTTAATTCTTTCCAAATGTATGCATCAACAGTTGTGATTTGGTTTTATTAAACAAGAAAAATAACGGATTGAAAAGGTTTAAAAAGAACATAAGAGGGTGTAGCGTTAAGAATCAGAATCAGAATAACCTTTACTGTCATTGAAACAAGTACAACGAAATTAGATGCAATCCCCGTGTCCGAAATTGAATTTACATGAGATAAATAAATATATATATATATATATATATATATATATATATATACATATATATATATATATATATATATATATATATATATATATATATATATATATATATATATATATATGTATATATATATATATATATATATATATATATATATATATATATATATATGTATATATATATATATATATATATATATATATAAGATAAAAGAATCTAATATATATATATATATATATATATATATATATATATATATATATATATATTAGAATAAAATAGGGGAGCAATACTTCATACAAACCTCTGCACTTGAATCATTTCGCACTGACTATGTGTGAAAGACAAGCTAACAATATATACATAATAATATTGCACCAGTTTATTTA